TTTTCTGAGAAAAATTCCATACTGTTTTCCATAGTGGTTGTACCAGTCTGCAATCCCACCAACAGTGCACTAGGGTCCCCTTTTCAACCACAACCTCTCCAACACTTGTTGTTTGTTGCTTTGTTTATGATGGCCATTCTGACTGGTATAAAGTGGTATCTCATTGTGGTTTTAATTTCCATCTCTCTGATAGCTAGCGATATTGAACATCTTTTCATGTGTCTCTGGATCCTCTGTATGTCCTCCTTGGAGAAGTGTCTGTTCAAGTCCTTTGCCCATTTTTTAATTGGATTTGCTTGTCTTAGAGTGGAGTCATGTAAGTTCTCTATATATTTTGGAGATTAAACCCTTGTCTGAGGTATCATTGGCAAATATGTTTTCCCATACACTTGGTTCTCTTTTTATTTTAATACTGTTTTCTTTAGCTGTGCAGAAGCTTTTTATTTTGATGAGATCCCATTTGTTTATTCTTTCCTTTATGTCCCTTGCTCTGGGGGATGTATCAGTAAAAATGTTGCTGTGTGAAATATCTGAGATTTTCCTGCCTATGTTCTCCTCTAGGACTTTAATGGTGTCACCTTTTATATTTAAGTCTTATATCCACCTTTAATTTATTTTTGTGTATGATGTAAGTCGGTGCTCGAGTTTCACTTTTTTGCGTGTAGCTGTCCAGTTCTCCCAACACCATTTGTTGAAGAGACTGTTTTTACTCCATTTTATGTTGCTGCCCCCTTTGTCAAATATTAATTGGCTGTAGAGACTTGGGCTTATTTCTGGGCTCTCTGTTCTATTCCATTGGTCCATGTGCCTGTTTTTATGCCAGTACCAGGCTGTTTTGATTACAGTGGCCTTGTACTACAGTTTGGTATCAGGTATTGTGATCCCTCCTACTTTGCTTTTCTTTCTTAAAATTGCAGCAGCTATTCAGGGTTGTTTATGGCTCCATATAAATTTTTGAAGTGTTTGTTCTATGTCTGTGAAACATGCCATTGGTACTTTAATAGGTATTGCATTGAATCTGTACATTGCTTTGGGTAGTATGGACATTTTGATGATGTTAGTGCTTCCAATCTATGAACATGGTATATGTTTCCATTTGTTTGTAGCTCCCTTGCTTTCTTTCTTCAGTGTTGTGTAGTTTTCTGTATACAGGTCTTTTACTTCCTTGGTTAGATTTATTCCTAGGTATTTTCTTTTTCTTTTTTCCATGTCAAATGGGATTTTTTTCCCTGATTTATGTTTCTGTTGTTTCATTGTTGGTATACAAAAATGCCTTTGATTTCTGGATATTGACTTTGTATCCCACAGTTTTGCCAAATTCGTTTATTAGGTCAAGCAGTTTTTTAGCAGAGTCTATAGGATTTTGTACATACACTATCATGTCATCTGCAAACAGTGACAGTTTTCTTTCCTCCTCTCCAATTTGGATGCCTTTTATTTCCTTTTCTTGTCTGATCGCTGTGGCTAAAACTTCCAATACTATATTGAATAGAAGTGGTAAAAGTGGACAACCCTGTCTTTTTCCTGATTTTAGTGGAAAAGATTTTAATTTTTGCCCATTGAGTATGATGTTGGCTGTAGGTCTCTCATATATGGCCTTTATTATGTTGAGGAATGCTCCCTCTATTCCCACATATTTTTCTCAGTTTTTTAAAAACCTAGTCTTATTTGTGTATAACAAAACAATCTAAGAAAAATTAACATGGAAGCTTGTTTAATTATGGAAAAAGGAACAACTTTATGTTTTATTAAAAGAAAAAAGTGAGGCCCTTGTTCTCTCTAGACAGCATTAGAAATGTTGAGGAAAAGAGTATCAGGGAAACAATAGTTTGATTTAAGAAATGCTTTGGGTTTTAGCTATCGAGAGCATTTTCAATTCAGATATTCATTATTTGCTCTCTAATTTTTACTAATTTATATTTATGGTTATTAGAGTGCTGTTTCAGTTAGAGAAACTTAGTGATGATCTTCATTTCAGGTTTTACTCCAAATGCTAGTGAATCATTGGATTCATCTGTAATCACTTTTATGAAAAAACACATTCTTCAAGAAAGCTAGCTGAAATGAGAGCTAAGGTCTAATTTCTCAGAAAAGGTTGAAAGTGACCTGCTTAATGGAAAGTGAAAAAACTCTTTGGCCTCATTAGGACATAGCCAACTAAATTAGGACTTAAGTAAATATCATTAAATTATCAAAATGCCAGGCTATATGTAAAATAGTAAATTCTCTAGAATTGCGTAGTATTAATGCAACTCAACCACAGTAGCAAATTTTAAAAAAGACATCAGTATAGATCTGTGGTAGTTATTGCAACATCATTGCTGATGAATCTCCTTCTTTAGAGGACATATGCAAAGTATATCCTCTAAAGGTTATCAGTAGTGTTTTTTAGGATCTCAGAAGACTAAGAAGAATATTTAGAGGTACGATTTGTGACACTGTAAACTTCTAGTTTTACAATAGACCTTGATCATTCAGGGAAAGACCAGCCATTGCTTTGTGCCACATCAGTATCAGAACTTTGAGAAGCAGTGGTGGTTGAGTATTTTAGGGATACACAGAAAATTATTAGCCTGCAATATGTTCTCAATACCTTTATCAAGTCTTATATATATTTTTTCCTCAAGACAAATGATGGAGTATTTTTAGAGGCATAACAAGTTTAGAATTGTTGAAAAATGCCTGTGAGCATGATAATGCATATAAAGCATTTTAATATGTTTTGCTAAATATACCAGAAGTAATAATATTGTTGTTGCTATTACTGATGAAAATGGCATTGAAGCAGGTTTTGCCAATTGTAATGAGAGGGTAGTGGTCATAATCATTAAAACATCTGTTACCTAGTATTCTGAGACTTCTAAAGGCATGATAGATACCATGGGACCACCAGAGTTCCTTTCTTTTTTCTATTGTGGATATTGGTTTGAGAACTTCCAGTAAACAAAGTAAACAGGTGAGATTTTACCAAAGCACATATTTTTAGAGTAGGATTAAAATATGGGCCACTTGTTTCACTGTGGATCTATAGGCTGTAAGTTTTTAGTTTTTTTTTACTTTCAGAGGGCAAATCTATCTTAAATAAAGTTTTGACTATAAAATGAAGTTTCTGAATACATTTGAAAAATGTATTATAAAATAATTGATCCAATATTTACCTTGCCCCAACATTTGCAAAAATGAGAAACCATTTGTTTTGGTTCCAATGTAGCATTATGAATAATTTGTTTCAACATAGGTTTCTGTGATTGTAACATTTGATACGCTATTGCTAAGTGGGGCCTGTACAGAAAATATTTATATAATTCCACTTTTAGTTAAAATAATTTACTCTATATAAGGTAGAGTGTTTGAGCTTATAATAGTTGAATTGGTACCTTATAGCTAGACATTTTACCAGGCACATGATTGAAAATGACTAGCTTGGATGAAGGGTGGGAGGTGGGGGTGGGTGGGGCAGCGGAAAGTGGTGGTGGGAAAATGGAACAATTGTATTTGAGCAATTAAACATGATAAAAAATGACATACAGATGAAAAATAGACATATGAAAAGATGTTCAATGTCACTAATCATCAAGAGAAATTCAAATTAAAACCATGATGAGATATCAGCCAAAAAAAAAAAGAAAGAAAATGATCAGCTACCATTTCTGACCATGCAGTTTAGAGATAATTGACTCTGTTGAGAGTTCAGCTAACTACCACATAATAATGCTGACTTGGCATCCTTTTTTTTTTTTTTGTAGCCAAGGAACCTGTAGGGGCCTTGTGTTGACATTAGCTCCTCCCTTGAGTGCATACATTACATAACAGCCTTCAAAGTCGTTAGTAAATGTTAAGTTCCTGACATGACTTCCTCAACTGCCCTTGTGATAAACAATCTCCCCTGCTTCCCAGGGTCTTCCCATTTGTGTATCCCTTGGATAAAACTTCTGGGGAGCATATCAAAACCCTGCTTTTTTTTGGTTAGAATTGACCAATCCATCCTTAGCCAGGGAACTCCAAAGTACTTCACCCTCAGTCCTATAAAGCATGAACCCCAGGTCCTGTTCTGCACCTGGACTTTACTTCCCCATGAGGCCCCTTGAGGTGTTCCACGTAACTTCCATAGGAGTAATAAATGCTATTTCACTTTCTCTTGTGGACTTCCATTGAACTGTGGCTTACCATCTTACACTCTTGGGCTTTATTTAATAAATGGTAATTTAACAAAGTCACAACACAGTTGGAAGCAGAACTATTCTGATGGATGGGAATTAACATAGTGTTAGAAAGAGAACTTCTCTTTTGTGGGTCATCTTTGTTCAGCAATTTTTAAAGCCCAACTCAAATGACATGACTATATGTATAATAAGAAATGGGGGCCTAGTAAAGTCAAATTATGGTTCAAGAGACAATATCAAAAATGACATAAATTAGCTGTCCAATGAAGAGAAGAAAGCACCAAAATCATTATATATCTATTTTTTTACTTATCTTTATTTACTGTTTCTCCCACATATACATATAATGATGTTAAATACACCTCATTCAGTACAAACTTTTACACAATCAAGCATTAGAAAAGTCAAGCCACCCCATAGCTTATCTTTTTGCATCTTGGATTTGTTTTTTAATGTAACAATAATTTAAAATAAAATAATATAATATTAAAATTAATAGATGATTCTATTTTAATTATTTTCTGTCTAACTCTTTCTACTTAATTCTGGAAAAATAGCATGCCTCTGATGAATATGAGCTGCAGACTATGACTACTGTTGAGAGGAAAAGCTCACCTAGTTGATAAGCAATTAATAGGACTCATGTAAAATATTTCTTTTCCCTTGATTATATTTTATTATAAACATTTTCTCTGCTTCAGAAAAATAGAATGGTAAGATAACTAAAAGCAGAGATATATGTATGAGTTTTACTGATATTTTTGAGATTATATTTATATTTTAAGAGTACCCTTTAATGCACATACTTTGATTTTTAGAGAGAAACTAGTCTAAGATATGATTTGTGAAAATCATACCAGAGTCACTAAGTTTATTCTTCTCGGTTTTACTAACAACCTTGAGATGCAAGTTTCCCTGTTTGTTTTGTTCCTAGTCATCTACACAGTCACTTTGTTGAGCAACTTCCTTATTGTCTGGGTTACCAGTGTGGATCCTGCTCTTCAGACACCCATGTACTTCTTTCTCCAACACCTATCACTTCTTGAAGTCTGGTTCACCTTGGTCATGGTGTTGAAGATGTTGGTAGATCTGCTGTCACCAAGGAGAATCATCTCTTTTATAGGCTATGGTACCCAGATGTACTTTTTCTTCTTCTTTGGCAGCTCTGAATGTTTCTTTTTTTTTATGATGGCTTATGATCACTTTGCGGCCATCTGTAACCCTCTTTGATATTCAGTCATAATGAATAGGTCTTTATGCTTGTGGGTGACTGTAGGCTCTTGGATTTCTGGTGTTCCTGTCTCTACGCTACAAACTGCTCGAATGATGTCCCTTCCTTTCTGTGGGCCACAGTGGGCCACTGTGGACCACTTTTTTGTGATGGTCCTCCAGTCTTGAAACTAGTCTCTCAGGATACAAACATGTATGAAATGCAAGCACTTGCTTCCACACAACTCTTTATTATGTTTCCCTTTTCCCTCATTTTGGTCTACTATACCTTATCACAACCATCCTGAGGATGCCATCAGCTACTGGTCGCCAGAAGGCATTCTCCACTTGTTTATCAAGTGGTATCCCTTTTCTATGGAACAGCCAGCTTGACCTACTTATGGCCCAAATCCAACCAGTCCCCAGAGAGCAAAAAATTAGTGTCATTGTCCTACACTGTCATCACTCCTATGTTAAACCCTATAATCTGCAGCCTAAAGAACAGTGAAGTGAAGGCAGCAGTCAAGATGATGTTCACTAGAAAAGTCTTGCAGAAGTTGGTTGTGTTTTGAGTTTTATTATTGCATAGTGTGTTTCTAAACAAGTAGGGGCAGCAGAACCCACAAGCAAAAGCTTATTTGAAGATTTGCTCTTATTTTGTCAGTGTTACTGTGATGGGTAGATTTCAGTGTCCAGTCAGAGTCCCAGCAAAACAAAACAAAACAAAATCCAAACGAACAAACAAAAAACTCCCCAGCCTCAGCTGGTATAGCTCAATGGATTGAGCACAGGCTGTGAACCAAAAGGTCACCAGTTTGATTCCCAATTAGGGAACACACCTGGGTTGCAGGCCAGGTCTCCAAAAGGGTACATGCAAGAGGCAACCACACACTAATATTTCTCTCCCTTTCTTTCTCCTTCCCATCCCTTCTCTCTAAAAATAAATAAATAAAATATGTTTTTTTAAACCATTATTTTTTTAACTATTTTTTAAAGTTTTTATTTATTTATTTTTAGAGCGAGAAGGGAAGGGAGATAGAGAGAGAGAGAGAGAGAGAGAGAGAGAGAGAGAGAGAGAAACATCAATGTGTGGTTGCTGGGGGTTATGGCCTGCAACCCAGGAATGTACCCTGGCTGGGAATCGAACCTGTGACACTTGGGTTCGCAGCCCGCGCTCAATCCACTGAGCTACGCCAGCCAGGGCCAATAAATAAAATATATTTTAAAAAACAGATGGTACTCTGAAATTGGGATACTTGAGGAAATCTTTAGGGGTCTATTTACAAATAAGGGAGTAGGCTTTGATCATTGTCACACAATTAGTGTGATGGAAATTCCATCTATTGACCTGAAGAGATGAGGAGAAGGGCTTTTAAGTGGAACCTGGAGAATGCTAAAAGTATAAGAAAAAGCTACCCACATGGAGCTCTGTTCTTTAGTAGAGGAAGGCATTCATGCCAGCCTTATTCTGATTTCTCTTAAATCTATGGCTGGTACCCATTCTTGATCAAACCAAAGCTGTGACAGAAGGCAAGAATGTCTGTTAATGAACTATATAAAGGCCAGCCTTCTTGGGAACAGATCAGGATGGAAAAAGTCATGAAGGGTAAATGAAAATACCCACCACAAACCGTTATATATTCTGCAGCTAATATGATGTAAAGATCAATTATATAATGTGTTTTAAGTGACTTTAAAAGACATATTGAAAGGTGGAGATTCGCATTTGCCAAGAATTCATGGTGTATATTCTTTACATGGTTGCTGATTTAAATTAGGTTACTTAATAAAATTACCTTAGTACTAATGTTTGGTGACATGATTCTAGACTTCTTTCATCATTGGCTAAATCAGTTATTAGTTTTTATTCATCAGCTATTACTTCTAAGAATTTAAACTGTGAACATTTGCTTGACACTATAGTAAAAACAAAAGAGTAATGATTACAGCCAACATGATTTATTGAGGCACTGCTTTTGAAAATGCTTTTACAATGATTCAAGCAATAGACCCTATTATACACTTATTTTTCATAAAAGACAAATTATTATCAGAATGTTTGAGTAACTTGAGGAGGCAAAGAATTATTGAGAGACGACCAGAGGAATTTGAATTCAGACCCTTATGAATTTGAAATCCAATATATTAACCTCTTTAAAATATCTAGTCATATTTTCAGCATGGTAAAGCATCATGTATATGGGAAATTGGTCTTTAAGGCCTTAAAGTGCATTAAAACAACAGAAAGGAAAAATGAGATTAGGTCAAGTTTAATTTTAGAAAGTCTTAATTTCAATAACATAAGGATATGTTGACTTTGAATATACAATTTATATATAATGATATCTGTCATTTTAAGCCATTAGCCAATGCTTGTCTTATTGTACAGATTATTTTAAAAGCAGTTACCACCCTCCATAATTCTTTGTCAATTTTCAGGAGAATTTAAAAATAATCACAAATTTAAAACTTGTGATGACTATTTTAATTTAATTGTGATTTCTTGAACTTTGTATTCACTGATTATAATGGGAACTTGGGGTTAGAAATATCAGTTCCTTTAAATATTTTCTCCTTATAATGGCTATTTTTAAGATTAAATAATTATTTAAAAAAATTTATTGGCGTAACATTGGTTTTAAGATCATACAGGTTTTAAGTGCACATGTCTATCATACCTGGCATGTACACTGACTGCACTGTGTGCCCACCACCCAGAGTCAAATTGTCTTCTGTCACCATACACTTGTTTTCTTTTACCCTTTACTACTCCCCTACCTCTTTTCCTCTGGTAGCCACCATGCTGTGGTCTGTGTCTATAAGTTTCAGTTTTATATTATTTCACATGTGAGTGAAATCATATGGTTCTTAGCTTTTTCTGACTGACTTATTTTGCTTAGCATAATGTTCTCAAGGTCCATCCATGTTGCAAATGTCTGTAGTTCATCTTTTCTTATGGGTGAGTAGTATTTCATAGCATATATTATTACATCTTCTTTATCCAATCCTCTATTTAAGGGGTCATTTTTTAAAGCCTAATTCATATAGATTTTAAATTAATGTTACTAAATTCAGTGACTATCAGATAAGACTACTGCAATAGTTTTATATTAGCTGCATGTGACTCATGGGTAGATGTGAGGCTGTAAAATCATTTTAGTAGTGGATACATCTGTATGTGTTTAATAAACTAGCATAATAACACATAAATGGAATAAAATAAGCAATATATAAAAAGAGCTATGGAAGTACTTGTTACATAGTGAACATCATCTAAGTGATAGTATTATTTTTAGAATTAAAGGACATATTGAGTGGATCTCACATGTTAACAAGTACATTTCAGTTATGTTTATATTATGTTCTGATTGAAATGTAAAGTTAATTTCTTCCTATAAGATGCAAAAAAATGTTCATAAGTCATTCACCTACTGCATAACCTGTATGATTTATAATCCATGACTTTTTACAGGGAATTTATAATAAAATTACTATGTTTCAAATAGGTTTATTAAAAATAATGTAAGTCACAGAGCTACAAGATCTTCATGGAGACCTTTTTTGAAAAATTTCAGCCTCATGGATGGAACCGGAGAGCCTTATGCTGAGTGAAATAAGCCAATCAGTGAAAGGCAAATACCATATGATCTCACCTGTAAGTGGAACCTAATCAACAAAACAAAAAAATGAGCAAAATAGAACCAGAAACTTGGAAATAAAGAACAAACTCACAGTGACCAGAGGAGAGGGGGAAGAGAATAAGAGGAGAAAAAAGGGAAAAGGGTAAGCAAAGGAACATGAATAGAGGACTCATGGGCACGAACAATAGGGGAGATTGGCTGTGGGAGTGGGGGGTACAGGGTAGGGGTGAGCAGTGGGGAGATGAGCAGGACAACTATAACTGAACAACAATAAAAATATTTCAACCTCAATTTACAAATTAATTTTTTTCTGAAAGTTGTAAAAGTTAATTAATATAGTCATTATATCTAGAGCAATGACAGAATATTGATTTGGTGGGTTCTCTCAAAGAAGTGCTAACACTTTTGTCACTAACAGTAATTACAGAATTTTCTTTGGGTAAGTGTTTTCATCATTGCTTTTAAGGACATATGAGTGGTTTTGGGGGTTGTAGTAAAAATATTTTTTTACAAGGGTCCTTCTTAAGTTTACAGTGCCATAGACAACTTCTCTATATATGCTCCTATATTGCTCATTACAAAAATTCTGGAATTATTCCCTCTAAATGTCTTTACGTTTGAATGTCAGAGGATGTCCTCATAGGCCAAACCAGGTACACCTAAATAAAAATTGGCTAGATTAGTTAGTTTACATATTATCCAATTTTTTCACATACATGGGAGCTGAGTTAAAAAGGAAAACCTATTGATGTGGCTGATATTTCAAGGTAACTTGAAAATCTAACTTTGATTTATTTCAATGGCATTCAAGTCAAATCATGAACCCAATCCAACATATATAGCACTGCTTTTTATTTATATTTTAAAATGCAATAGAAAACAATGCTATATATTGATTATATATATAGAAATGTGTGGTTCAAACCTATATAATCTTATTAATCAGTGTCACCCCAATACATTTATACAAAATTCATTAATACAAAAATAAATAAAAACTGCCCTAAAATAGTGTTAATTTATTCTGTTTTATTTTCAGAATTGTATGCCATTTAATTTAATTTCATGAGACATAATGAAAAGAATATGACTCCATATGAACTTTTAAGTTCAGAAGCTTTGGATCTTTAAAGGAGTACATTTACATTGACCCACTCACTCTCCCTGTTACTTACTTACCATCCTCAATAATCTGCAGCAATACATTGTCTCCTGAATGATTAATTTGATCAGAAAGCATTAAGTATAGCTATAGTTCTAAAACTGGGGTAGAGGAACCAGGAACTTGGGAAGCCCGAGGTGAATTGTTATGCTTCTTCCCAGTGAGTTGATTTTACTCAAATATTTAGGGAAATGGAATGTTATTGGTAAGCAATTTTTTGAGCATTATTTTATATTAAAATAAATACACAGTATTATGGGGTAGAGTAACACAAGCTATATCTTGATATTACAGGGAGTCTTTTGGGCTGTGACTGTCCTTTCTACTACAACTACTGGATCAGTGACTTATTCTTTTCTATGGTACTTTGGTAGAAAATGCCTGAGTTGCACTTACCTAAAAATATATTTAAACCCTAGAGTACTAAGAAGAGAAAACAGGGATCCAAGATGGTGGCAGAGGAGGTGGATGTTGCACATACCTCCTCGCAGGCCCAAACTTGAATTACAACTAAAATAAGAACAACCAACCTGAAGAACTCCTTGAAGACCTGCTGAACAGACGTCTTATAACCAAAGATTTACAGAAGTAGCCACATTGCGACATGTATGAAGGACAAAGATGCAGAAAGAACTGGCCTGAGTCCCACAGACATTAACAAAGATTCTGGAGAGTTATCTCAGCTGCAAAGGTTCCCCCTAGAAGTGTGGAGTCTCAACTGCAAGCCTGGCTCCCCAGCCCAGAGCACCAGAGTTGGGAAAATGTACCC